TTCCCCAAAACTGTTCAAAATTTGTCAGCAACCAAAAGCATTCTGTTTAAATACAGCTTCTGAAAAAAAATGAATGCTCATAATTCTGCAGAATATGGCAAATGTCAAATTGAATTAATGCCAACTCCACTTATTTATTAAAAAGGGACAATCTTTCCATTTAAGTAAGTTCCTATCCAATATTTTGGCCAGCTCCCCTACCTGTGGCTTTAATTGTGATCCACTTATTCCACTGGAACCCATCAAATGAACAGAGGTGAGGACACGGAACAGAAATTTCTTGGGAGTGAAGTCAAGGGCAGATGAGGAATTCCCTACCCCCATGACAGAAACCCACCCATTGCCAAGGAAAGCTCATTGCTCAGACTTCAAACACCACAGCTTGTGCTTAATTTGGATACCACGGTTCTCCTGCTAGGATGAAAAAGTGCCAGTCTTACTCCAGGCAGAAGAAATTGGGGGCTCAGCAGAGCTGCCAGGCCCCATCTTTGCCCAGGAGCAATGCTGTGGTCTAAAGCAGCAGCAGCAGCTGGCTCGGATGGACGATGGTGAGTTGGATATGGGGGGAGGAGGCCTTTTTTACACACTGGGGAGTCAGTCTGGCTTTCTTTCACCTTAAAACTGGAAGTTAGCACTCTAGAGCACTGCCCAGTGCCATTGACCTGTGAGGTCTCAGCAGTGGGGATGGGATAGTGAGAGGGGATGGCTGCAGGTGGAATCTTCAGGCTGGGTGTTAGGAAAAAACACTCCTTCCCCCTGTGGGTGGAGCAGCCCCAGGCTGGGTCACAGAGGTGTGGGATTCTCACGACTTGGCCAAACAAAGCCACATCTGATGCCAACAGTGCTGCTCCAAGCAGCAGGATGGACCAGAGACCTCCCAAGGGATGGACTCTCTTTCCATGTTTAATTCCATGTCCCAGTCTGGCAGACTGTGCCACTTTCCCTTCCACTGAGCTCAGGTGTAGCATCTTCTGCTAAGAGCTCCCGTGGGCAGGCAGACCTTGCTAAAAACACGGAGCCATTTCTGTGCAATGATATTTTGGGGGGAGGTGAGCACATACAGGCACAGGCAGCTTAAATGTTGGAAGCATTTCCAGCCTACAGGCTCTGTTCTCATAAAGCTTTGGAGAAATACCTTTCTTCCCAGGTCAGCTGCTGTTGACACAGCTGGATGGACTGTTGATGAACCTTCCTGACCTCAGGGCAGCTCAGGGCCAAGGAGTGAAGGCGGACCTCCCTTGGACCTCATCCCAGACCCTCCTGAGGCCTCAGCCCCTCTCAAAACTCAGTCCTGACCCCTCTGGGACCTCAGCCCCCACCCAGGCTCCCAGACTGGCTGGTTTGATTGTGCTCTACCTTCAAACAAGGACAAATGAGGCGGAATTCAGAGAAGAGCAACAGGAATGATTACGGGGGTGGAGGTAATGGCTGAGGAGAAAAGATTTTGAAATTTAAAGATGGATAGCCAGGCTACAAGCCTACATACAGAGACATTATCATCAGTCATTAAGCAACACAACACTTCAGAGCCAGGGCAGGCTCATGATTCAAGACAGCCCAGTCTCCAAAGTGCTGTAGCCCAGAGGAGCAGCACAAGGCCAGGCAGAAGGAGCCTGCTCAGGCTTGTGAGCATGAGCATTCATTTTTATTTTTTCTCTCAGTGCAGCATCTCACAGTATGAAGGGAAATTCTGTTTGGCACTAGGCAGAACCACAGGGGCACCAGGAGAGAGAATGTCCTAGCATCAGTGATGATTTTTGAGGTCTTTTCCAACCTTGGCGGCTCTATGAGTCTATAATTAAGTGATTCTATGACTCTATGATTGTATGATTCCATGATTTTGTGATTCTGTGGTTCTATGGTTCTATGATTCCACGTTCAGGGAGAATATGTGGAAGTTGGAATTTCCTTGGCATGGCACTGATCAGCCAGAGAAAGTGCCAGAGCCCCACTGCTCAGGATGCTGAAGTTAGACTGGACAAAGCATCGGGCCAATGGTGAGGAATGGCCAGTGGCCAGCAGAGGGACAGGGCAGTCAGAGGAAGGTTTCCCAGCACAGCTTTGCCTCTGGTGTAGCCCCAGCCTCCCTGCGAGAGCTGGCCAAGCCCTCCTCACACCTTCACCCAGGGCAGAGCCGGGTTTGGTCACAAAGTGCTCCCACAAAGTTTGGAAACCACAAATGCCACATGGTGAGACAGGGAGGGAGCGAGGGAGGGGAGAGAGGGCAGCATTAGTATGCAGCTGGTGCACGGCCTGGGAGAAAGGCGCTGCCGGTGAGCACCCGGAGCTGAGGCTTAGAAAGCTGCGATAAAAGCTGAACGCTGGCGGAGTGCAGGGCCCAGCAAATCAAAACAGATGCAATGAGCTGGCCAGTGACAACAGTGACAGCAGAGCCCACGGGCTGGGGCGCCTGGTTGGCACAGAGAAAGGAGGAGGCCAGAGATGAGCTCTACCAAGGGATTCTGAGAGCCAGAGCAAACGGCGAGCGCGCTCCTGCCACACATGGCACCCACAGCAGGAGCTGCATGGTCCTCCCCGGCCCTCCAGGAGCCAGCCGGAGGCAGACTGCTTCCAGGCTCAGCACAGGATCCTCCATCCTCCCTCCTGCCTGCCCCCAAGGAGAGCTGCCCTCAGTCACACACTGCTGGAGAGAACTCAGGGGTCTGCTCTTCCAAAGCCATGCTGCAGCCAGAACTCCTCTGTCTTCTGGCACCCAATCCTTCCCACCACAAGGAAGGGAGATCATCCTTTCCTCACCCATCAGGTTTGTGGGCTTGGTCACCTGGGGCAAGGGCTGCACCAGCTTGGGGCTCACAGGTTGGCTTTGCGTGGGGGGATTTGTGTGAGGACCTGAGAAGGGAAGGAAAGGTCCACACTGCTGAGGCCACCTGGCCCTTGCCCTGTTGGGACATTGAGCTGTGGGTTAGCACAGCCACTGCCACCATGAACCTGGTGACACTATCCTGCTGAGAGGAGAGATGATTGTCCTTGGCACAGCTAAGGACAGACCAGGTGTGTCTATGCAGGACATGTGAGCGCATTAGAAATGGAGAGTGACTGTTTGAGGTTCATATCAAACATCTGGGACAGCAGATTTGTATGCCTGGTGAGAAACATTTGTAGTTTGAACATCTCACCCCTGCCTTCATGTACTGGGCTGCAAAGGCCCTCAGTCATTGGTTTCCTTACACCAAACTAAGCACAGCAAAGCAGAACTTGAGCATCTCTGCAATAACAAAATCTCCAGGAGCAGTAAACCTGCCTTGACCAACTCAGGCCTTTTAAAGAAGGGAAAAAACCCATAAATCCACCTGAAAACTTCCTTTTGACTCCTGCTATCTCCTCCATTTGTTTATGGCCTCCCTTGTGAAAGAGGATAAAAGAAAATTTTGCAAAGGGTAGGGTGGCACATCTTTTGAGATCCTTTTTGCTGCTCCCAATGCACAGCCCAATTTAGAGGAGTGCTGCTTCATCTCCCCAGCTCCTCACAGTTCACCTGTAGAGCAAGACAGGCTCTGCAGTGCTGTAACAGCCCATTAGACATCCAGTCAATCACACCAGTGCCCACTGAAAAGTGCACATACCAGCAATGCCTCCCCACCAGAGCTGGGCACAGCAGTGCACCCACCAGTCTCCACAGTGCCTACCGGGGCATCAAAGCTTATTAAAGGGGGGAAAAATAAAATTCTCAACCTGGTCTCCTCTCCAGCTGCCTCTTCCTGCTGGTACAGACGCAGTGTCCTGGGGATGCCATGGCCATGTCACAGAGGGCCCCTCCACCTGGGGCTCGGCTCTCGGGGCTGTCTAAAAGCTCTCCTTTCATCAGATCACCAGCACCCACTCCCCAGGAAGCCAAAATCACACTGCAGGGTGTGCTGGAAGCAGGAATCTCTGTCCCTGCCCTTGCCCTTGGCCTTCTTAAGCCTTGTGATGACAGATGCTGAGCTCTAGTCCAGGAGCCTGGCTTTACAGGGCAAAGTGCTCTTCAGCACTGTCCTGCTGCTCTCTCCTCTTCCATTTTGTTGTGCTCCATCCTTAGTGTGTGATGGAGGCAGGGAGCCACTCCAGAGTTACCTCTTGGTTCCAGAGAAGATGCACTCTGTGGCCAATCCCTCACAATCTGGATGAGGACAGCTTCAGACACTGCACCAGGAGATGTTTTTATTTCTTATCCAGCCTGAAGCCCTTGGAAAGTGTCGCCCACAGGCTTAGGCTCTTCTCAGCAAGACACAAACTAACTAAAATATATCAAAGCAAGATTCTCATATACGCCCCCAAACCTTACAAATATCCAAAGCCTTGCACTAAAACCAGCCTAGCCAGCAATCTCTTGATGCCCCAAAACAGAAGGCTTTTCTGGAAGGGAAACCTTGGGTCTCTTCAAATTGCTGGACATTGTGCAGCGTGAGTGGATAAGAGCCTTTGGACTATGCCACTCAAAATGATCTAATTGTTCCTTCTGGCCTTAAAAGCCATTTATCAAAACCACATCGACTCTGTACTGGGCTAGCAAAGCTTCTGCTATAGATTTGGCAGCAAGATGTCCAGATCTACAGTAGCCATTGACACCATCGTGATGGATCTGCTGAAGAAAGCTCGGGTGAAGGAGGGGTATGTATATAACAAGGAATATGGTACACATATAAATACATGCAGGCTTCAGTAAGCGATAAATCAGTTGAGAACCCCTTAGTGTTTAGAGAAAACCAAGCTATGTTCTAGTCAATCAATCTGTTGCTGCAAATATTATTAATGCCTGGCACATAGATTTATGATGAAGGCTAGATGGATGCAAAAGAAACGTTTGTTAGTGGGATTTTTTTGATGACTGTGCTGAAATATCATTCATTTGTGAAAAGAAATCTAAATACAATCATCGTGGTTATTTATCAAGGAACAGAGTCATCTTCATCTCTTAGTTTACACCTTAAAATTCAGGGTACCTGCATGGCTCTCCCGTCTCTTTTTGTCTTAAATGCACACAAGTTAGAAATGGGTACCTGTAAACAGCATGGTGGCAGGAGCTGCACCATCATCACATCATTCCCAGCACAACAGGAGTTGCTGGGCCTGGGTCGGTGTTCAGAACCTCATGGCACAGAGGCACCGTGTGTGATGTCACCTCAGTGCTGTCTCCTGAGTGTCTCCGTGCAGGGGGGACACCTGAGGAGGGAAAAAGTCCCTTCTGTAGAGTTGGTTAAGCACAGGGGTTATGAAGCTCAAAGGAATTACAGCAGAACATCTGGAGAAGGTCAACAGGGACAACAGCTTGTACCAGTATGAGCATCTCGGGCACTGCTCGTAGGTTTGTGGATGGGTGCTGAACCAACAGCATCCTGAAGTGGTGTAAATCCCAACTCCTCCACGTCCCAGCCCTGCTGGCCACGTTTCCACTTTGCCATCACCAGTTCCTGCCTTCCCCAAGAAGATGCCTGAGCTGCTGTTAGACCCTGCTGTGGTCATTCCTCCTCAGCCAGCTGGGAGGTTCACAGTGGGGAAGAGTCAAGCTTTGACACTGTGGGATCTTTGCCAGAAGTGCACAGGAGACTGTCAAATCCCATGGGACACCGGCTCCAACCTTCCCAACACCTCCATGGACACGTCTAAATACAGGCTTGGATGGAACCACAGGAGATGAGTGACTGTCCCAGCAGCAGGAGGAGCTCATAGGGTGGGTACAGCCCTCCATCACACTGAGCAGAGCAGCTCTGGCACCCGTGCCCAGCAGCAGCCTCCAGCTGAGCTCTGCCCCTCCAGCCCCAGCCCCAGGCTGCCTGGGCCAGCTCTCTCAGCTCCCTTGCTTCCCTTTAATACTGTTTTTGTTTTCTTTCCACAGCTCGTTTTCTCGGTCATCCATGTCTCTGTGCATCATATATCACGCCTGTGTGTCCAGAGGAAAGAAAGATCCCCTCCAACCCAGCAGCCCTGTAACGGATGGACCTTCCCGATTCGCAGTGAGCTGACAGCTTGTGAGAACAACAGCTTGAATTACTGAAAGAACTTTTCCCACTGAGTTAATCTGCAATGGATGTAGGTGACCTTCTAAAGGCATCTATTAATCAAAAAACCAGTGCCCATTCACTGTGCTAGGCTGAGCCCTTTGGGGGAGGGGGAGATACTAATTTCCCTCTGAGATAAATCATAATTTGACAATAATCATCTGCCCTAATCACTCCGATTCTTCCCTTTAATTATTTGTACACACGGCTCTTCCTGCCTGAGAAACACAAAGGACAACATTAAATGTGGAAATGCTGAAGGCTCCAGCCACAGCCTTAAATCCCTGTGTGGAGCAGGGCACCCAAAAGAGCTGAGCTGACAGGGTGCACCCTCCTTCTGAGGTGCAGGGAGCAGCTTTTCCCGCTGCCTCCAGCCATAGGGAGAGCACTGCTCCCAGCCCAGGGCTCAGAGCAGCAAGGAGAGGGCTGCTGGAGGGGACAGCAGGAAGCAGAGGGGCTCTGGAGCTGTCCCAGCAGCTCAGGGTGACACCTCAATGCTGCACCCACTGGAAGAGGCTGACCCCCACACAACAGCCATGCACTCTTCCCCCTGGGAGGGCTGTAAGAACAGGGAGGCTGTGGAGAGCACAGGGTTAATGTCACCTCAGTGCCCCTGGATGCTGGGAGGAAGGGCTGTGAGCGAGCTGGGGAGCCAGCGGACCGTGGGAGGGAGGAAGGAGAGAGGAAGGAAGGGAGGGAGGGGTGGTTTGGGTGGCCTTGTGCTGGGCTGGTGCATTGCCTTGGCCTGGGGCTGGTGAGGGGTCTGTGCCCGGGGTGTGACACCCACAAATCCTGGGAGGGGGCCCTGGCAGGTACCAGCAGCCCCCGGCCCACCCGGGGAAGCTCTCAGGTGCTGCCAGAGCGAGTGCAGTGTCTGGGGGCCCAGCGTGGGTCAGGGCTACACATCTTGGCATCCCCTGCCACCTGGTCATCCAGCCGCTCCCACGACTGCCTCCAGCCGCTGGTAGCACTCCAAGGTGGTTTGCTCAGCCACCTTGGAGCCATTGTGTCCCCAGGGTATGCTCCAGGCTGCACAATGCTGTGTCCTTGGGCACCCCTGAAAGCACAGGGGACATTGATGGGGTCAGATGACCATTTTGTAAAACCCTGCACCTGTGAGATAAGAATATAAATGGCAGTGGTGTGAGAATTTGCCTGTGCCTGGAGTGGGGGCAGGCAATGGGGTGTCCCCATGGCAGCGAGGGTACAGTGGTTCCTTGCACCTGCCTGACTGAAAACTGCTCAGCAAAACCCTTTTTCAGTAGACTCGTGGGATGAGGCAAACAGTGCACGCTGTCCCTGGAAAAATGGGACTGCTCCTTGTTCTTCTTGGGAAGAAATCCTCTAGAACTGGAAACGGCCAGGAAATGCTGCACAGCAGCTCTTGGAAAGTGAGATTTCTCTCCATACCCATCTCCTCTCCCACTGGCCCGTGCCCATAGCATCTCCCACCGTTCAGGCACGGGCTGGGTGTGCCAGCTCCCCACTCCAGCCCCGTGGGACCGACAGCCAGTGCCAGGATGGGGTCCCGAGTGCAGCAGCATCACTTCAGAAACACACCAGCCACCTTTCATCCTCTGCTCTGTAGAGTTTGGGGCCAGGACCTCTTAGGATTTAAACATCTGCCCTCCCAAATAAACAAGTAAAATAGGAGACAGCCTCCACAAGCTTCCCCAGTGCCACAGGGCTGACTTGTAGCAATTCCCGGAGCCCAGGCCAGTGCGCTGTCTCACCGTGCTGTCTCACAAGCTATACCATGGACCTACAGCACCGTATGCTGGCCTAGCTCAGCATCTACACAGAGAGAGGAGCAGAGCTGCAGGACTGGCGATGTCCCCCACTCCCTCCGGGGACAGTTGGTGATGCTGGGGACAGCCCTGGGAAGGAGGTGAAGGGCAGCCCCGTGTGCCCGGTGCCCAGGGCAGCAGCATGCCGGGATGCCCAGAGGTGGGGCAGAGGGGATGGATGTGCTGGGTCCTCCCAGCCCCGTCCCCCTCTGCGCTCTGTGCCTTGGGCAGTGCAGCACCAAAGCCCACCCTGTGGGATTTATCTGCTCCAGTTTCACCGGTGCTGGGGGTACTGCTGCCCTCCCTTGGGACCCCACAGCTGCCCCAGGGCCCCTGTGCAGACCACCAGCTCCCCAGTGCAGCCCTATTGAGGCCAGCTCGGGATCCTGCCCTACCAGCAGCTCAGACTCGCCGGACTTGGCACAGCTCAGCTCACGATCCTCCCTCGGATGGGAGGGACAGAGCGACCTTGAGCAACTCTGGAAGTAACCACATTAACATTGAGCTGGGGAGGAGCAGGCTGTTTCCCGAAAGTCTAATCCGTGGGACTCCCTGCCATGAGAGATTGGAGCCAAGGCTACAGAAATAAAGATTTAATACAACTGCCATGAATAACTGCATCCCTGAGGAAAGCAGGCACGGTGCTGCTACGTGCCTGGTGCCTTTATCTCCTGGTTCTCATCACAGGGTGCCCTTTGGGCTGTCCAGCCCTGACCAGCGGGCACTAAACCTTGGATTGCAGAGCTTAGGGACAGAGTTCAGGGCTGGACCTGGTAGTGCTGGGTTAAGGCTGGACCCGATGATATTAGAAGGCTGTTCCAGCCTTAATGATTCCATGGTTCTGTGCTTACCTCCAAGCCAATGAGGCATTCCTGAGCATGAGCTGTCTGTGCCTGCTGCCACCTCAGTGCTGTGGTGCTTTCTGAGCCATGGGGGACAGCTCAAAACCACACATTGCTCTGGAGCAACTCTGGTGGCACACCCTGAGAGTCTGGGACACTGCGAGTGACACTTGGCCTGTTTACGACCGAGTCCTGCCACGGGCATGAGAGATGGATGGTTCCTCATGGAGGAGAGAGCTCTAAAGTGCAGCATGGCCCAACCCAAAAGCTGCCAGGAGAAATCTGCCCCCATTTAATCGCAGGATGGTTTGGGTTCCAAGGGACCTGAGAGCTCATCTCTCTCCAATCCCTGCCATGGGCAGAGGTAACACCCACTAGACCAGGTTGCTCAGAACCCCATCCCACCTGGCCCTGGACACTAAGCCATACATCACCTTACATCGCTCCTTATGGGAGTAAATCCTTTTGGGACTCCATTTTCTTCATGGTGGAAAAAGCCTCTTTATTCACATAACTCCTTTTTACACAACTTTGCAGACCTGTGTGTGACTCCAGTTGGTCAGTAGCTTTCTTGCCAATTACTTATTGGTTAGTAACAAGTTGTTATTCTGTATTGATTGGTCACTCAAACCCCCAGGGTGGACATGCAGGAAAAGTTGTTTGTGAGAGATAGTTTTAATTTTTCTGTCTAACGGTATACAAACAGTTTATACAGGTGCTGGTTGTTTTTCACCCAGGAATAGATTGTTATGCTAACAAACTGCTCACTAGGATTGCTTTCACATGGGAACTTGCAAAGGGCAAGCCTGACAAGGCCAGCCACTGATTTTAGGAGTGCAGGCTTGATCTCATGAAGCCTTTCTTTATGATTTTTCTACCTTACTGCAACATCTCCTGGCCCCAAAGCCTGTAGAGGCATGGCTGGAGTTAGCAGTGACCCATCCAGGCATTGCACAAGCAGCAGGAGCTCACCACATGATCCAGCTGCCCTGATGTTGGAACTCAAAATGTCCCTCAGACATTTTTGGAGGTTCCAGGCCCTGGTCAGAAGCATTTGAGACCCTGGCAGGCAGCTGGAAACAGCTGTGATTTTGAGTTTGAGCCATGGAATAATTTACCAACCTTGCAGGTAGAACAAGAAGTCACAAAAGTTTAGATATTATAGTAAAAGTAGTCACAAAGTAGAGGGAAGAATTTTTAGTGCCATACAAGGGGGTTTTAACACCTGTACAGGGGAGGTTTTTACTTTGTACATGGGGGTCAGAGGTTTTAAGATGGAGGAATGTAGGCTGGTCCTGTTCCTCCTCTTGCTTCTTCCTTACCTCCATGTTCTTGGTGATGTTGGCACTCACAGATTGGTTTAGAGTAGAAAAGCACCATTTAATATAGGTAATAGGCACTGGGGAAAAACCATAAACATGTAACATGTAATGTACCATATAAAAGATAGAAAAGCACCATTTAATATAGGTAATGGGCATTGGGGAAAACTGTACCCATGTAACACGTAATGTACCATATAAAAGACAGCACAGCCCTGGGCGGGGAGAGAAGAAGCAGTCGGGAGTCAGAGAGGATGTCAGGGTGTGTGTGTGCCTCTGCCTGAGCTGTGAGCAAACCACAGCAGCCCCAGAAGAAAATCTTTTAGATAACTTGCAATAAACTGCCTTGAGACTGGATAACAAGAGGCTGCTGAGTTTTCTCTGGAAGCTCGGGTTGGAGGAGAGACTTTACCCCCACACGGAACCCCTGAACCAGGCCGGGGTTCTGACACCCTGACTTTGCCAAAACCCATCCCACCACCCCGGCTGAGCCTCTCCTCCCTGCGGGATGTGCCCACGAGTGGGATCACACGGACTGCCCAGGGAGATGAGCTCAGTCTCACAGCACCCACTGTGCCCCTGCCACCTCCGGGTGGGTTTGCCCACTCCACTGGGGCTGCAGTGGAGAACTGGGGGGAAAAGGGGAGAGCCTTTGCCCAAGGCCTTTGCACAAGGGCCAAGGATGCAAGAAACCAAACAAAATGCAAGAGGTCAGCAAACACAAGGCAGCAATTAGCACAGGCAGTGGGGAGGAGAGGGGGAGACAATGCAATTTATGGAGCTCAGCAGAGGGAATTCTCTATGGGCGCCGATCATGCACTATAAATACCTTCAAGGTAATGACAGCAATGGAGTGAATTATTCACCATCCCTGATGATGGGAGGGCAAGAGGCAGTGACCTGGATCTGAGGTAGGGAAGTGTGTGTGGGAGGAAGCCCGGGCAGCAGGAACAGCCTGGCGTGGGATGTGCTCCCAGGGGCAGCCCTGCTTTCTGTGCAGAGTCCATCTCTAATAGGTCCCTGGCTGAGTCCAGGTCAGTCCCAGTGCTGGAGGGGCCAAGGCCAGGTTATGTGGGAGCTCCCAGCCTTCCTGCCCCTCCTGGCATGGACAGACTCAGTGAAGTTTCCTGCATGTGGTGGCTCTGGCCCATGGTGGAGTCTGCTGCTTTCCCAGAATTGTTTTGGAGGTCAGGCTGGCACTGGGGGTACCCACCATCAGCCACCCACCAACCTTTCTCCTGGCAGGGGCAGATGCTGGAAAGCAGAAAAGCAGGAGAAGAGTGGGTCAGCTTGGGTGCTTCCTGC